ATCCCATTATGCCTGTGCCAACTCTCTAAAAAAGCTATCCATTTAGTCCTTTTGTCTTTTTTCAAATATATTGCAGCTACCTTTTAAAAACAATTATGGATTCTGCTTCAGCTACCATTTTCAGTAGGATATTCCATTTCCTAATAATAATGAAAATTCTTGCATTTGATATAATGCACATAATCGTGAGGAGGATGTCTCAAAGCTCTTCACATAATTCACTAATAAAGTGTAGTCACTTTTGTAGGCAAACGCAGAGTCAATTTGTGCAAAGCAATGTCTTGCAAATAGCCATGAAGGGAATTACCTGGAACAATTGTTGGGCAGAACATCGGGAGAAATTCATTTTGCTTTTCAAATAGTGCCATGCAATTAATTCTCTCTGCCATAATCTTCTGTGTGTAATACAAGGCGATTATCTTGAATTACCCCCCTCTAGTTTCTGATTCACTGACCAATGGAAATAGATTCACCCTAGTTATCTTATCAAAACCTCTCATTATTTTGATTGCCTTTATCAGGTCTCTTCTCAACCTTTTCTATTCCAATGAAAACAGCCACAGCTTCTCTACTCTCTCCTTTTAACCAACACCTCTCATACCTTATTTGTATGATCTGTATGATCCGAGTGAAGGATACTCCTCAATTGGTAACATTCTTGGAATAAACCAAAGCAAATCAGTATCAGAATGTCACATACTTCATCTTTTTGCAAACAAGCTATTGCAACCATCAAAGAGTTAACCACAGCACAGACCATTTTGATCCTTGGCTTTAGATAATGCCTTGGTTCACACTGTGTTTACAGTCAGTCAATCAAGAAAATCTAGTCAACCTCATGTTACCTCCAGGCAACAATGCTCTATTTAAAGATTCAACTGGAAAGTAGAACTAACACTACAAAGCAGGAGCCCCGAGCAGTCGATGTGTAGCTGTCACAGTGCCAGGCTCTGCAACATAATTGGTGGAATAAATAAAAGGATTGCTGAGCACATGGCCATGTAACAGAAGAGGTTTATTGTTAGTGGACAATGAGACCTTGAAATTGTGCATTTAAAAGGTTTAGACACTGATGAATCAGATTAAAGTTAGGTTTTTGTGGGAAAATGACAGCTGACTGGAAGTGGTCAAAGTGTAAATATTGCTTTGATGGATTGTTTTTATTTTTAAACACGGTTGTAAAAGTTGTACATGCTTTCTTAGAGTGATGGAGTATTGAAATGACATAGTACTAAGAAACCCACAGTTGAAGGAGGGAGTAGGGCTAGTTACATGTTGTAAGGCTGAAGGCCTAAAATATCATTGATATTTTCTTATTTTGAGGCATACTCCATGCATAATGCATTCAGATTAGATTTTAAAGTGCCAACCTGTCTCAGTTGGTAGCGCTCTCACTCCTGAGTCAGAAGGTTGTGGGTTCTAGGCTGACACTCCAGAACTGTGCTGGGGAGTGCTCCATTGCCAGAGTCCATTTCTTTCAATGAGACGTTAAACCATAGTCCCATCGGTGTCTGTTCAGACGTTAAACATCCTATGACACTATTCCAAAAAAAAGGAGTTCCAGATAAAAATTGGTCATTTATATCATGGCTATCTGTGGGATGCTGCTAAGCACAAATTGGCTACCATATTGACTTATAACTACAGTCATTGTCATATCCTGTGAAGTGTTTTGGGACATCTAGATGCTGTGATAAGATATTATACCAAATGCAAGGATTATTATTTTAGATTAGCAAATGACCCGCATTTATTTTCAAATGAGCTGTGCCACAGAATGCATTGTCTCACAGCTTGGAACATTGAACTGGACAGCCTGTATTGCTCAAGAAATTAGTTGCACTACTGTGCACTATGGCTGGGGGAGAAGGAAAAGGACAGCAAAGCCAGTCACCTCCAACATAGGGGCTGGCATAATAGAACATTGTGCAATTTTTTTCTCCATGTTTCTTATGTTCTTTGTCTCCAGGCTTCAAAATTTCAGTGCAAATCAATCTCACTGGAGAGTCACTTTCCATTGATTTTCACACAAGACATTTTAGCAATGTTCCACCTTAAAAGTTGGAAGTTGAGGATGATGTGGAAATCTAAATGGTCATGTAATTTAGTTTAGGCACGGCGAACTTTATTACATATCCACAGACAATGACCATTGTTTAAACATTCTATTATTCCAGACATATCAGGCCAATTACCTTATAAGAACATGATAAACCCATTGATAATTGGCAAAAAAATGAAGCAATGATACGGTTCTGGAGCAACTAGAATCATGTAAGTGGGTACAGTCATGTGTTGAAACCCAGCAAGCAATTGCTTTATAAAAAAACAATATAAAACCTCAACCCAATGCTATTGTTTGCATTAACCAATCTCCCTCCCAAAGGAGACTTGTACCTCATTACTAAATGCAAGAGAGAGCATCCGATCCTGTTAAAATGGAGGCTGGTATCTCTAACGTTTTTTCAATTTTAGAACAAATTTTTAACAGCTTCTTCACTTTAGTCAGTGTGTCAGCCTGGCTCAGTGGTAGCATTCTCACTTGAGTCAGAAGGTTGTGAGTTCAAGCCACATGTTGGGACCTGGAATCGCATAGTCTAAGCTGACACTCCAATGGATTGCTGGGGTGTACTACATTGTCGGAGGTGCCGTCCTTCGGTTAAACTCTGGACTATTTGCCTGTTGGTGGATATTAAAGAAAAGAGAAGGGAGCTTCTCCTGGTGTCCTGGCCAACAATCCCCCAAATAAAATTGGTCATTTTCGTGGGACATTACTATGCATAACTGGCCGTCACAATTCGCCCACAATATATACAGTGAAAACCACTTTGCAGTATATTTCTGTGAAGCGCTTTGAGACCTACGATGACGTGAATAGGTGCTGAATCAAGTGCAAGGATTATTATTTATTATTATTCATCCAATTATCTTCCCTGGTGTCCAGAAGGCGTTAACTCATCTTTCACAAGCATCGGCAGTCCTCCAGTACCTCACCCAATTATTATTCATGTGTGAACCCACACAATAGAGTGTTGGTCATGCTACTTGATCACAGGAACATCACATTCCAGAAACAATCACTGGAAAATAATTGGGTGTATGAACTTTGACTAATTCACCCCCCAATCCCCACCCCCTTCTGAGTCAAACCTCCTTCGTCACTGTGACCAATTATAATGCCCTACCTGCTGTATTGACTGAGATCTGTTAACTCAGCGTAGCCAGGACCAAGCCAAGGTTACGGCAGTGAACTCCTTTCTCCACACGCCTCTTTCAGCTCCACAGTCAAGATCATGATCACTCTCAGAGAAATGCTGTCAATCCAGGCAGACATGTATCGGTGCTAGGAAACCAAACCTATGTACGAGCTAGGCATCTCTTTTTGCCCAAAGAAACATAAGGGAGGGATAAAAAGGTCATGGTTCATAATAGATTCAATATTTTCAAACCACATTTTTCCAACTCGTTTGAGCAATCGTAAAAGACTATTTAGTCAGGAAATCTCTCTTTATGATTCTCAACACCACCTAGCCTTTTTACACCAATAATCTCTCACCTCTTTTTCTCTCCAAAGACATATTGAACCCATATGCACTATCAACTTCAATAATCATCACAGGTATGTATGATATCTCTATTACTTTGTACACAAAAGCTTTCTTGACTTCCCTTACACATACATTCTTAATCGTTTAACTATGTCCATATATGAAACCTTCACTGCAATTGAACAATTTGCTCAAGCTGTCCATTGCCTACCTTTGGTAGTCACATACCAATCATGGAAACTATTGTTTAGGGAACTCTCAAATCTTCTATTTTCCAAGTAAAACAGACTTAACTTCCTCTCTTCCTTCATAATAATAATAATTATAATAATCCTTGAATTTGATATAGTGCCTTATCACGTTCTTGAGATGTTTCAAAGCTCTCCACAAACTATACTGTAAAGTGAATTGACTGTATTTTGTGGGCAAGTTGCGGCAGCCAATTACGCACAAACAGTCGTGGATTGAATGACCAAATTATTCATTTTTTTTAAGGAATTATTATCTCCGGAAAGCGATCTGCCAATTGACTATTAACCAATTCCAACTTACTGCTAGGTAAACAGAGACATGTGAATTAAGGAAACCTGCCAAAGGTTTTTCCCTGACCGGGAATCAAATCCAGGTCCTTTCGCTTGTGAAGTGCGTTCCCAAACACTATCCTGCAGTACTCCTCAATACATATCTAATTGGGGCTAACTCGGGGAATCCTCTGAGTTTCAAACTCCTCATATGGAGTTACAACCACATTTCCAGCCTAAACCAGGAAACTGACCATCTAAAGTTATTTTCGTGTTTTAATTACCAGCAAGTGGCTCGCTGACTGGGTGAAGTGGCTGTGGACAATTGGAGGCTTGGAGCTGAGGACTCAGTATAGGTCTTTTCTCAACAATGGTGGTGCCCAATAAGAAATTAGAAATATATTTACTGGTATTTCTTATCCTTATTTCTTTTTCTTATGTGTTAATTAACACAAGGAACAAATTAAGGAACACCACAGGTTTGTCCTCCAGGATGTTACTGGACAGAAAACAGGGCTTTCAGCCCATTAAATCTATGCTGGTGTGTGTTTTTCTCAACGTGAGCCATATACTTGGATCTCACTGACCTACTCAATCTCCAAAACCTTTGTTGTTCCTCTTGTGCAGCAGCAATATAACTGAATTGGATTCATCCACTCAGTCACTACTGAGCACATGACTCAACAATGTATTGGCTGTATAATGGTTTCAATTATTACTTGAGCGCAGGGATTGAGAAAACAAATTATAGCTTTTTGCGTTTTGATCGAATGTTTAGGCATTGTAACTTGGTTAAAAAACAAACAGTAAGGGAGGCATCTTATTTACTCCCTCTTAGTCTCAAGTGTTTGAGATTGAAATTTGTGTATATACAATGAATGAATACAACTCAAATTTGTCTGTTCCTGTGCATGTAAAAACAGATGTAAGAACAATGCCACTCCTGGAGGAAACCTCGCTACCTCAGCGCCACTCACTAACAGTGCCAGTCGTAATTATAGGTAAGTCCCTTCGGTTTGGTCGCCATATTCTCTGCTCTAACCATATTTCTTATTGCATTTCTTGCACGAGCAGTTTTCACTGGCAAATAGTTGAAGCTGAATATGAGGTAGTGATAGGGATTGCCTCCAGCAAAAAACAACCAGAGAATCTGCAGCAGCAATATTTAAGAGGGTTGGTGAATAATATGAATAATATCGCCTACTTCCCAGGTAGTGCAATTGATATCAGCATTAGACTTGCCATTATAAAAGGTTCATTAAAAAAAGGCTCAAATGTTATGAAGCCAAATATGTTTCTAACCATTTTACTACTGTTAGAAAATAAAATCAGCCATAATCCGTTTGCAACCAGATATCTGACTGTTTTATTATTATTTGTTCGCTATTCCCCAATATCCCGATGGGTCAGACCAAAGGCCGATACAATCAACAGATCTTATAACAGAACAATACCACCGTAGATATCTCGAGTTCAACACTGTGTCTTTACAGCACACAAGCTTGATTCTTCATGCTTTCAGTCTTCTTGCTTACAGCTTTCAATCTTCCATCTGATATCCTCAGTCTTAGTGTTTCTAGCTCTCAGTCTTCCATCTCCCGTACCCTTGTCTCCGCAGCCTGGGATGGCCTCATCTCCCATATCCTTGTCTCCGCGATGGCCCCATCTCCTGTACACTTGTCTCCGCGACCCGGGACGGTCCCGTACACAAAGATATCGGAACTCTTATACCGATGTTCATCCAATCATGGTGCGGACATTAGATCACCTGGTCAAAATCATGCTGAGTTCACGTGAACACCTCATGGGGTGTACGTGCCTCACACACATACACAATGTCCTTAAGACCCCTGTTATCTGATGCTTGTTATTTTGTGAGGTGAGATTATTAGTACATTCCTTTTAAGTGACTGGTCATTTCTTATCAGTATCCCGGGATGGTACTAAGGTCCTCTAGTTTAAGCAACCTGCTCATTATTTGCTATTCTTGAGGGTTGCCTTCTGTCGCTTGGCAGGCCCTGTCAGAATCTAGTGACGTATTGCTAAGTCGAGATCCTGTGTCGACCGGTACCTTGGACCGTTATCTCTGTGAGTGTGTTGTCATTTACTGATAAGAGGTGACCCCCTGCCCTTTTCAAAGCTGTCCTGTTATTCTTTCAAAAACAGAGAAAACCGGATGTGTCCTATCCCATGACTATCAGTCCAGTTGCGCCCCACACTTAAGTTAAAAGTTAACCCATTCACAACATCTATTATGATTCTAACATTATACAAAAAGTGTAAATTCTAACACTACATATTTAACAACAACTTTTTTTAAACAAATCGTTTCATTGAGGATAGGAAGGCAAGCATTTGCTTTGTAGCATTGGATGTCAGTTTACATGGTAATATTTTTATTGTTGAGTCAAATCGGTTCCCTAACTAGCATTCCAGTGCCACGATCCACAACTTTATTCTCCTTGGTGGTAAGTGAGGGGGGGGCGTGGGAGGTTTACGGGATCTCGTTGGGGCTGAACTGGTTACAGGGTGATGTGACTGGAAGTGAAATTCTGGAATCGAGTTGACTGTTTGTGGGGGTTTTGGTAGTCCGGTTTCTGAGCCAGTCAGTGCTTAAAGACACTTGTTGATGACAGTCCAGCCTGACTCATCATCAGAATTGCTAGCGGCAGACTCGATACCAGGGGCTGGGATTTTTCACATTCAGCTCCTGTTGACCCTGCAAGCCTTAATTAGTAGGGTAGATGATGTCTCAAAGCAGTTCACGGGATTCACTGCATTTTTGTAGACAAATGCAATAGCCAATTTGCACATTACAATGTCTCGCATGCAGCTTTTTTTTGGGGGTGGTGGGGGGAGAAATTCCCTTCACTTTTCAAATAGTGCCATGGGATCTTTAATGTGCACCTGAACAAGTAGACAGGATCTAGGTTTAACATCTCATCTGAAAGACCGCACTCAACAAGGCAATGGAATGTCAGCATAGACTGTGAGTTCAAAGTCTGACATGGAGCTTGAACCCACAACTTTCTGACTCAGAAACAGAGTGCTACCAACTAAGCCAGGCTGACACCTGTTGAGACGCAGGTGTTAGATGTTAGCTGCTTCCTCTGATTCCATGTTTCCGCCTAACTTGGTGCATATTTAATTATCTTGCAGGAAGTTTGCGAATATAGGTCATTAATCTATACAAGGAAGCATCTATGTTGACAATACTTAAACACAGATTCAGTGCACTCATTCTTAAACTATTGTTATATTTGTGGTTATATTCGCAAATATCTTTCAATTACTAAATCCCCAGAACATTTTCTGCTTGGATCGTTAGATAACACAGATAAGCATAATCCATTAATGCGCATGTTCTTGTTTTGGTCCATATTCAAAATATCATGTTGGTCTAATAATGTTCTTAATCCAGGGAATGGTCCTTCTGGGATATGCCTCTCCTACCTGCTCTCAGGATATAGGCCGTATGTGGCTCCAGGAATTGTCCACCCAAACCCTATTCTTCAGAGTAAACTGGAAGAAGGAAGCCACTGTTCTGTTGTGCATCAGGTAAGTCAACAATGTGTTAACATGTTATTAGGGGGAAAACTCTATCTGGGTGTAGATTTACTCTGTTGATATAGCATTTTAGAGTGCCCAGAATGCAGCAAATTGCTAATCAGTCTTAACTTTGAAATCAGTTTTCTGTAGTCTTCAAAAGAATTTACAGAAAACAGCTTCAAAGTTAAGGCTACATTTAAGAATTTGATAATTTCTGGACACTCTGAAATGCTACATAAATAGAGTAAAGCCTGCCTAGGTTGAAATTTGCCCCATATCTATGTTTATTTCATGTTATTCATGAAATCTGGATAATCCATAAATATGGATTTGATTTGCAGTTTTCAAAAAGGACTAAAACAAAGTGTCATGCACTCTCACGTTATGGTTTGAATGTACTCCGTCCATCAATTGACATCCCAGTTGGAGGCTCAGCACAAACACATTCAAGGTGTAATTGCAGATACCTTTATGCGTTCAAAATAAAAATTTGTATTTGTAACATAAAAGTTTTTAACATAATGCAATATAGTGCAACTGAGGTGGAAAAGTATTCAATGGAAAAGCAGCAGTATAAATAATGCCTTGGGACATCCTCCCGACGTGAAAGGCGCTCTATAAATGTAATTTTGTTGTTGTTGTGTGAATGCCAGAAAAAACAATTGCGATAAAGTTTTACGTAATGAAAGGATCGATGTTGACGATTAGGTAACTGGATGGAGCTACCTGGAACTGGATGACATTTAAGAATTGCACTAACAGTAAGCGCAAGTGGGAACAATATATGATTAAATGCTAAAACCTTGCTCACAAAACCCTCACAAAATGCTTTTTTTTAAATTTTTTTTTAAAAATTCTGCAAATTGGTTTGGGATATAAAATGTATTTCCTCTCATGTAAGCCAGAACTGAGTTCTGTCAAATCAGCTTCTCATACAATTGGTTCCACTAAATTTTCATGTTCACAATTTCTTCAAACAAAGAGAACACAGGAAACCAAGTGCCTTGCAGCATTATTATTACTGCATGATTTCCCACAAAGTTGATTCTCAATTACTGAATATCACCATTTTAAACAAGAGAGGAGTTTTTCCAGGTAACCTCGACAACAATCCCCTTAAATAAGACTGATCATTCACTTCATGACTGTTTGTGGAACATTATTGTGTGCAAACTGACTCCCACATTTATTTGCAAAACACACAATTACTACACTGTACAGTAAATACTGCATTTCAACAACATAAGGTGCTTTGTAAAATGCAAGTGTTAGTATTATATCTTAAAGAGGGAGCACAAAAGGAATGTCTCACAGTGAGGGGGAGAGAATCAGGAATCGGTCAACCAGATTTTCACACACAACTCCCACTGCTATACAATGTTATTGGCAAAGGACTAGGAGCAGGGCACCTTAGCTGTGGAAGATGTGTTACTTTGGGTGGCAGTGGAAAGACAAGAGGGCTAGGCGCCTAAAGATGAATGTTATTCCTTTCTCGTTCTCAGGATTTGGAATACTTAGGCGAAGGGCTTGAAGGCAGGTCATCCAATCCTGTGGCCGTGCTCTTTGATACGCTTCTTCACCCAGATGCTGACTTTCAGTTTGATTACCCATCTGTCCTACAGTGGAAGCTAGAAAAGCACGAAAACATTCCTCACATTGTGTTGGGGAAGGGGCTCCCTGGTGGTGCTTGGCATGTAAGTATCCTGCCTATTATTATGAAGCACAATATTGTTTTTGTAATTTAATAAAGGGGAAATTTAGCATACGAGATGTTGATGGCATTCCATTAGAACAAGAAATATATTCTATTAGTGATTGGGAGCATTGCTCATGAGCTCTAAGATGTTTGTGGAGCAGAACCCCTTTTGAAAATTAAGCCAAGGTCCCATCTGCCAGTTCAGGTGGACGTTAAAGACCCCATGGCACTATTCAGATAAAAAATCTCTAAGTGTCCAATCCCCCTAATAAAACTAGTCACTTTCACTTTGTGGCTGTTTATGGGACATTGCTTTGTGCAATCTGGCTGCTGTTTTCGCCTCTTACATAAACAGTCATTAATTACACTTTACAGTAAATCCTTTGAAGCACTTTGAGTCATCCCACTGATGTGAAGAATAGTACATGAAATCCAAAGAATATTATGTCTGTACGCCTGATAGCTGCTCCTAAACCAAGGATCCATCTATCTGTTCAGGTGGACGTCAAAGATCCCATGACATCATTTGAAAAGAGAAGTGAGTTTCTCCTGGTCCGCTGGCCAATAAGTCTATAAATTAACTGATTATTTATTGTAGTTCATGGATAATGTAGTTCATGGTAGTGCAAATGGCTGCTGTGTTTATCTACAAAAACAATCACTGTCCTTGATATTAAATCCACTTTACAGTATATTCTGTGAAGCACTTTGAGACGCCTCGAAATCGTGATACGGCGCTATATCAAATGCAAGGATTATTATTATTAAATCCCTGTGAAGTGCATTTCGTTATGACTCAGTGTGTACATGGGGGAGATGTAAATAGAGGCGAAAAGGAAGGGTTGGGGCTCATGTGGAATATAAACACTGGGATGGACTAGTTGGTCTGAATAGGCTGTTTTCTTATCGTATAATTTTATGTAATTCTATTCTATGTGATAAAGAAATATAAAAATGTAAATTCTTTTGTTCAAAGACTGAAAATGTTGTCCTATTTATTCATAGTAATAGAAAAGATTAGTTAACATGAATCTAAGTATTTCTCTTGTACAGGTAGTAATACTATTATAAAATGCTGGATACAGTGATTTATATGATGCATCAGTTTATGTCTTTGCTTTAAGGTAATGAAAGGATCTATGTTGACAATTAGTCTGGGCAACTGGATGGAGCTACCTGGATTGAAATTTAAGGATTGGGCCAGCAGTAAGCGGAGGTGGGAACAATTTATCATTAATTGCTAAATATTTTGCTCACAAATCGCTTTCAAAAAAATTTAAGATTTTAAAAAAATTATTTCTGCAAATTGGGGGGGGTGTACACTTTGTGCTGTTAAGCTTCTGTCTGCCATCAGCCAAACTGGAATTTCTAGTTTTGTGTATCTTATGTGTCGCGTGGGATACAGATTTTGAACTGAAGAACTAAGTAAATCCAGGATAATAAGATTATTTTTATTGTTATTATTATATGATTCATGTGGATATTAGCATATTAGTTAGAGCACTCACCTTGCAAGCGAGAGGATCTGGGTTCGATTCTGTGGCGGGGTAAAATGTTAGGCAAGTTTTCTTACTCCACACGCCTCTGTTTACCTAGCAGTAAATAGGAACCCAGTTGTTTGTCAATTTGGCAGATCTCTTTTCCAGAGGTAATAATCCTTTTAAAAAATAATTTGGTCACTCAATCCATGACTATTTGTGGGCCACTGTTGTGTGCAATTGGCGCAATTTCGTGGGTGTTTCATATGATACAGAGTTGTAAGTATAACTCCTAGCATTAAAATGATTATAAAATAACAGAATCGTAGGATAGAGCTATTCAGGTCATAAAGATTACATGAGTGCAAGGCCCATCTGACTGATTAATTGCTCTCTTCCCACCCTGTTTGTTTCACGAACAGTAGCCCTGCCTTGTACTTCCAAACCACTTTGCCTTGTTATTTGTATCCCTACCTTCAAAATTTCTCCAAAAATACACTGCTTCTACTGTTCCTTTGGTCAACATCTTTAAGTATCTTATTTGCCTCTCAAGCCTTTTGAGATGTTCAGGTTTGCTGCATGAGGAGCATACAACAACAACAATTTACATTTATTTGTGACTTGGAGCACTTAAGAATAAGTACCAGCTTGGACTGGTTGGCCACACTCTGCGGCCTCTCCCCACGCTCCCACCCTCACAGTCACCCCACGCTCCCACCCCAGCGGCCACCCCATGCCCCCACTCCCTGCAGCCACACCTCCTCCATGCTATCATTGGTAGCTGAGCCTTCAGCTAACTACTCCCCAAACCAATGGAACTCACCGGCCCTACCCTCCATCTTGCCCATATCTAACAGTTTTTAAATTTGTCCAAAATCTCATTGACCATGCTTATGGTCACCTCCTTCCTCTCCCTTCTCCGTTGCTCGGTGTCTGACCCAGATATTGTGAAGCGCCCTGAGACGATATTGTAACGTGAAGGGCAGTATATTCATGGACGTTATTGCTTACATGAAAGGTCCATACAAATGCAAGTCGTCATTGTTGTTGTTGCAGTTGGATGTCAGCCTGTCTGTTGTTCGGGAACAATGTCTGGTGTAGCCTTGAATAGCACAAGCAGTTGCCAACGGTGATTGCATCCTTTTAATATTGCTCACAGTGCTGGTCTTTTCAAAAATAATCCAGCCTGATGAGATGGACTCATGCACTATCTGAAAACATCCATGCTGATTTGTTCAGTGGATAAATCCGTTGCTGTAAACACACATACATCTCCTCACGTGCCCTTTATTTGAAAATGCAACCAAGGATTTGCAGTTTATTTTCAATATAAACGATTAGTTAACTGTTCAACAACTGTATATCTCTGGAAACAACTGTCTCTTTGGCCTGTCAAGCTCTGTATGCTTTCTTTATGTATGATTATGGAAATTGCCTCCTCATCGGCCTTCCCAACTCTTCCTTTCACAAGCTGCAGATCATCCAAAACTCTGCAGCTCGTGTACTCTCACTCACCAGGCTCCGTGGCTCCCACTCTCGCCCGATTCCACTGGCTCCCCATCCCTCAGAGGATCAAATTCAAGATCCTCATTCTCCTTTCAAGGTCTGGCCTTGCCCCCTCCTACCTCTCTGACCTACTGATTCCCTACCACTTTGCCCGCTCCCTCCATTCAGCGGGCTCTGGCCTGCTCCATGTCTCCTGCCCGACCCGCCGGGCTTTCAGCCTCTCTGCTCCTCACTCTAGAACTCCGTCTCACAGTCCCTTTGCCTTGCTTCCCCCCTTGCCTCCTTCAAGGCTGGTCTCAAGACCCTTGTCTTCGATCGTGCCTTTGGTCACCCTCCCACCTCTCTGCCTTCCCTCACCCCTACCCCACCCCTGTTCATGCTTGGGTCTTGACCGCTGACTATCCAACGCCTTGGGACATCCTTCCGACGTGAAGGGCGCTTTACAAATGTAATTTTGTTGTTTTTTTCACATTCTACACTGGAGTAAACACTAATATTACAGCCTTAAAGCTAGCAAACATTAGGGTAATTTTATGACCAAAAGATTAATAAACAACAGCTTACATTTATAGTGCTATTCACTTGGGGTAGCATCCCGGAGCACTTAACCCTATACCACTAATATAAACAGATTTAAGTTAAAACAAAACAGTCTACCTGTGCTTCCTCATCAACCTTTTATTACATTTTTTAATATTCTGACCCATTTATTTTTACATTTGCTCCAGTTTGCCCTTTATCTCAAGATGACAAGAGAGATTCAGATGAAGAAGGTTTCTGAACCCATCTTTTCTGAATAACCACCCCACCATCTTCCCATTATATCAAACCGCTTCTGACCTCTTCCTGGTAGCCTGTTAAGTTGTTGATCCTCCCTCCACAAGCTGCAGGTCATTCAGAACTCTGCAGCTCGTGTACTGTCCCGCACCAGGCTTCGTGACCACATCACTCCCACCTTCGCTCGCCTCCACTGGCTCCCCATCCCCCAGAGGATCGAATTCAAGATCCTCACCCTCACCTACAAGGCCATTCACGGCCTTGCTCCCTCCTACCTCTCCAACCTACTATCCCCCTACTTACCTGCCCGTGCCCTCCGTTCCTCTGGCTCCGGTCTGCTCCACATCCCCCGCCCCAACCGTCCTACTATCGGTGGCCGGGCCTTCAGCCTCTCAGCCCCTAGGCTCTGGAACTCTATCCCCCAGTGCCTTCGCCGCCTCCTCCCTTTCCTCTTTCAAGGCCGGTCTCAAGACCTTTCTCTTTGACCGTGCCTTCAGCTCCCCTCTCGACTCTCTACCCCCTCCTCGCTCCCTCCCTTCCCTCCCCTCACCCTGACCATTTTCCCCTTGCTCGGGTCCTGACCCAACTGTACAGCTCCTAGGCGCTCAATAAATGGAATCTTGTTGTTGTTGTTGTTGATTACCCTCTGTGTAAAGCAACTTCTTCACGTCTGTTCGAAAATTGCTCTTCACAACACCTAACCTGAACAGCCCTCTTGCCTTGCTGCCTTGATTTTCATGAAATTATTTTTCTAGGTTGATTTTCTCTAACCCATTGTAACACCCTACCTATCTTTCTCTGTCTGCCACCCTGTCCCATTTCAGAGGTGAAACCACTATTTCTTGGAATTTGCTAAAAATTAAATTGGTTTTACATTTATTAAAAGCCTAAGATGTTCAAAATTGGCATTTCCACATCGTTGGATAAGACCAGGTCAATCTTTGATAAAAAAAATCGCAGCAGAAAAAGAATTTGTAGCTGCCATGATATAAACTGCTTCTGTGATAAGTACAAGGGTTAATTTAGAAATGGGGATCTAAGCTGCAATGGTCATGAAATCAGTTGTAAATAGAGGCTCCTACCAATAATACCTCAGCACTCAGCCTGCAAATACATTGTGTTACTTTTTTAAACCAAACTTCACAATATTAAGGGGTAGAGGGAGTGATCCCAGAAAAATATTTTAAGATACACCATGGCATTATATTGTGCCAATTACCAGATGTAGTTGGTACTTACTCTGAGAATGTTTTTATCACTATTAGAAATACCGCATTTTAGACCATATAGAATCAATAACCCAAGCTAAAATGGTTATAGGTGCAAGAACATTGTTCAAGATATCCATTTTCAATCAGAATCCAGAATCCATTAAGAGGAAATGCTATGAAAAATCTAGTTTGCTTTCAAAATAAGAAATGAACACAAAAATGTTCTCAATGCTAAAGTAACTTAGAAGTTTTTTTTAAAGCTACAGATTTAGCAATTCAGTGTTAAGGAACAGTAAACACCATAATATTACTTCAAACAAGTGCTAAACTCTATGGGTTCATGTTTAGTTATTGTGCTAACATTTCTGCATTCAAAATTCATTTTTTAAATTGTTTGATTAAACAATATATAGAAACCTTTTTAAGAATAAAAGTTTTAGGCAAATCATTTTGCGAAATGCAGGGTTTCAAAACGCATTCTATCACATTCAGAGAGTAGTTTCTTTTGTCATCATGCTCAATAAGAGAAGAAACAGTTCAAAGTGATACAAGACCTATTGCCATTAATTTTAGTCAGTTTTTTTTAGTGCTGGATGTTTTAAATATATTTATTTTAATTGCAACAAGCCTTTGAGAAGGTATTAAAGAGTATTTTATGGAGAATATTTCAAAGAATAGATGAATTGATGCTTTGTTCTAATTTCAGCTTTTAGATTTTCAGGAGATAATAGTAATAATAATGCATTAATAGTGCCTTATCATGTCGGTGAGACGTCAAAGTGCTTCACAGAATATACTGTAAAGTGAATTGACTGAATATTTTGTAGGCAAAAGATATACTGTCCATTTGAAAAATCACATTGTTAAACTAGGTTCAACTCTGGTTACTTACAAATCAAAAATGTTGTTTGGATTCTGTAGTTTAAAGTGCTTAGTGACCCACTTATAAATAGGCTGAATTCTGCATAACAGTTGGCACAAATAACAGCTAAATACATAGGAATAGCATAACAAACTTGCTGAAAATCAATGTCAGGAGATTAGGTGGACTTCCACCACTAATCCTACATGAATCATAGGATTCATTTCTCTTAGAAAACATTCACAAACAGCTTTCCAAGTCCTGCAATTGAAATACTGGACTTTACACACATTATTTTGTTTGCAATATTCTTAAATATAAAACCTTTCAGATGTAATAAAGTAAACCGAACTTGAGAAGCTTAAATGGACTTTGAAAGTTATTTCATCTGAACAATGGATTTATAATGTACTGATTGTTATACTGAAACAGAAGCAATTGCACTCAAGCGTTAATGGTTGAATTATGTATTGCTATGACCAAAATTTCCCCCCACAGAAATCCAACAAATGACAGAGCAACTACAGAAGACATAGCTTCCTACTATAAAGACTATGTAAAGATCATGGGTCTTCAGAAAAACTTTGCCGATAACACTTGTGTCACTTCCGTATCAAAGTCCCAGCAGGATCAAGAGAACACAAAGGAGAATGATGAAATGGACATTAGCACACGGCAGCTCCCTGCTACTAACGTGGCAGACCAAAATGGATTGCCTCAGAACCTTTGGGAAGTCAGTGGATATCAGAAAATTGGGGAAGGATCACCTGTGCCTTTCTGTCTTTTGGCTGAGAATGTTGTCTTAGCTACTGGCACATACGATTCACCTGCAAGATTAGGGGTAGAAGGTGAGGACTTGCCTTTTGTATTTCACAGCATCTCAGACTTTGAGGTTGCCATCAAAAATCGCAAAGTCAACCAAGCCTCGGATCCTGTTCTTATTGTAGGTGCCGGGTTAACTGCAGCAGATGCCATCCTGTGTGCCTACCACAATAACATCCCAGTGATTCACACATTCCGAAGAAGTGTCAATGACCCAGGCTTGATATTTAAGCAACTTCCTAAGGCCCTTTATCCAGAATATCACAAAGTTTACCACAAGATGTGCAAACAATCTTATTCCACAGCCTCGGGTCTGTATACTAACTATACGAGTTTTCCAGAAAACTGTATTGTTTCTTTCCAGCCAGACATGAAATGCATTCTCCAGAGTGCCTCTGGAGTGAAAACGGTCTTAAGCATCTCATTGGCCTTGATACTAATAGGTTCTTACCCTAATTTATCTTTCCTTAAAGATCATGGGAAATATTTAGGAGTGGATCCAAGTAAATCCATTTCATGTAAGAGGAACCCTGTTGACATTAATCCCTGTACATTTGAGTGCACCAAAGAGGCTACATTATTTTGTATGGGACCATTAATTGGGGACAACTTTGTCAGATTTCTTAAAGGTGGTGCTTTGGGCATCGCAAGCTGTTTAATGAAACGGTTGAAGAAAAAGGGCCAGTTAATATCTGAAGTAGGAGGTGCTGATGGATACAGGACCGGTGTGATTCACTGTGAACTTAAAATGATCTTGTTTGCGACCAAAAATCACCAGCAACAGACTGGAAATTTAACAAGAGGTTCAGATTTAAAAAATACAAGTCAGTAGAAGTTTTTAACTGAATGCAGGAAATGGTTTAGTAGTTTATAGTAGAATAATATACAATGGAGTGTGAAAAACGAACAGCAATCATTTCTTGTATCAAAACAAAGTCCTAGGAAAGGCCAGAGATTCCCCATGAAATCTGGTTATTAAAATAACTTGCGAGAAGTGTATATATGATTCTACACACAATTTAATGTCATATTTACTTCAGGCTAATTTCGTCCTTTACTGCACTTGACAACCATAGGAACACACTGAACTGTAAAAGACCATTGCAGCCATCTGACTGGTTCCAAAGTAAAAGAAATACATAACCTGCTCATAACATATGCAGAAGCCTATCACCATGTTTTAGAATATCCAAGCCATGCTGAGAGTTCCACATTATGTATGCCATCTGCACATGAATATTTTCTTGTGTCTGGAAAAGAAGTGCACTCTCTCCCTGGAGGGCTGCAACCATACTTACCCAATTCCGGAGAGTATTAGGGGCAGGTTAGTGAGGACCAAGGCTTGGTAATTCTACTATGTGATGTGGTGCTGGAGTTTAACCAGCTAAAGGCACATAGTTCGCCATTTGCCCACTGGCTGGCAAGCTTCTAGCAGTTTTGTCCTCCTAGCACCATCCTACCGTGAGGACTTTGTTTTGAAGGGTTAATAGGAGCTGAGTGGGAAATATCCCAGTCTCCCCTCCAAGTTCTGCCATCGATCATGCAATCAAGTTCTATGGTTTCGATGAGACAAGAACTCAATAACCTTGTATATCTGAGTCCATTTGCCACCCACAAGTTATAAAACAATTCAGATTGTAATCGTAAAGCTTTTAACTAAAGTAATGCTGCTCGACCCACAACTTCTGTGCCTTTTAAACAATTTTACTGTAAAGCTTTTACAACCTTGAAATACTCTTGAAATATATGAATCTTCTCTTCAAACATTCATGCTTAGAGCGATCACTTCATTATCTAAACAACGTGAGACTGATGCTGTACAGTAACTTTTCTCAATACTGAACTCCCTTTTGACTAATGGTGAATCTCAGACTGAAATTGTAAAAAGTTGCATTCACTTCACATTTACCACCACTCCAACCAACAAGGACAAAAAAAGCCAGTAACTGTAAAATATTGAAGTACCTACTTTATTTTTGTAGACATGATACACAAACAGTCACCATCATACACACTTGTAAAGGAAAATCCCATAATAAACTTGCAGGCCAAGATCGGCAAACTTACTGAGGGAAGAGAACCCTTGCCTCCCCCACCCACAGCTATATCAGAAGTAACTAAGTTAAAAATGCAGTTACAGCTTTTTTTAAAAAAACTGTCCAAGTTTGTTTTTATGAACTAATTATTGAGGGTGATGGGCTTTCTTTTGGTGATATTTTCTCCCATTTCTTTGTTATTTTTCTGGACCAGGGAAAGAAAATCTGGTACGAGATAGCTAATGATGATCCTCACTCATATGGTGCTTTACCATAACAGTAATGCCTCCAACATGTAGATCACAGCATATCAGCCATTCAAGTACACTCCTCCTGAAACCATACATCCAAATTGTTGCTAGTTTGACTGTACCCAACAGGGACTAAGTGTGTTGCAAGGAGCTGAATTCCAAGATGACAAATAATTTTGAAAGCATGCAGCAAAGGCCCCAAACAATTTAATTGAAATATCATTAGGTTTTAGATTATTGAGGTACTTCTGATCTGACAGTCCACTCCTTTCTACTTCAAATGCTTTAATTCCAGGTCCAGATACAAAAATTAGATGCATCTTATACTGAGCATGAATGGGCAATGGGACATGATGTGTATAATTTTCACTATACAAACACAAGGAGAGTTACACTTTATAGCTCCTCAAATATAAACTAAAAATGTTTTTCATAAATTGGGATCTGGCTTAATCGTAGCATTGTGCAGATGAATAATCCAGGAAATCTGAATGAATGGTTCAATAATTCCCAGCAATACTAAAACTAGAAATGTTTATGACACTATAATCCAGATTATACAGATCCATTTCATCATATACAATTTTCAATGACTCAAATCTAGGATTGTAGTTGTGGTTTTAAAACGTTACTTCATGTTGACAGGTCCCATTCAATGGTGATTTGTTTGTTCAACTGGGTGTAGTGTACAAATCATACCTGGAAGTTCCAATTATGCCACTCACAAATGGAAATTCTCATTTCTGGGACCGAGTTTTATTTCATTTTAGTATTGCTGTGTCCACAATCAAATATTCACTGAAAAGTGGTAGAAAGATCAGGTTGAGTTTAACTACTGTTTTCAGTTAGCTGATTTAGGATAATTTTCTTTTGAATATGTTTTAGAACATTTCATCAGCTCTTAAAACTACCAGCAGGACCTACAGAGACACTGTGGCTAAATGGTTATCTACATTCTAAGATCAAGCACTGACATTGAAGCCAAAACCTATTGTAATAAATGCATTCAAATATCAGGATAACTTTATTATTGTAACTTATTTTAAAAAATCTCAATAAAACACATTTAAGTCTTTACTTAAGGTAGTCTTGTCAGTTTTTTGTTTTGACTATTTTTATTAAATTCTGCCCATTCTGATCAATTTCTCCAACTAATTCTAAATTTAGAATGTTTTATTTATTTAACTTTCAGCTCTTACTTTCCTTTTTGTAGTTTTGTATTCAAAGAAAATGATACACATTCACTACTATAATTCCAATTCTCTGCTCCTTCACTGTAACTTTCATATTGTTCCTCTTCTATATAATCTTGATTATACCCTCTATATTGTTCCTTTTCTATATAATCTTGATTATACCCTTTGTTTCTCTTACTCTTTGTATATAATTTGGATTAGAACATCTATATCTATCAAATGTTCAATCACCTTTTAAATGTTTTTGTTCCAAAGTACTGGATAATGTTCCCATTCATTTATCAGATGAGAAATCAGATCTACGACTCTTACTTGGGAGTCATACTTCACCTTGACGAGCCCAAAAAATACCCAAAAGTATTTTTTTCCGATCATCCGGTTGTCCGACACGTGCGGAAACCCATCACATGATTAAGAGTTCTATACATCCACCAAAACATGGAAATTCTAGAGATATATTGTTGGAATGGAACATACTCTCTCGCTGGAGGGATGCATCCTGTTAACCTAATTCTGGAAAACATTGACGCAGGTTGGCAGGAGTCGCAGCTTGGGGACCCCTATAGTGTGTGTTGGGGTAGTGCTAGTTTAATCAGATAAAGCCTCATGGCTAGCTTGCCACTCTCACAAGCTTTCCCGTTGCTTGTCCAGCTAGGACCATCCTACCTGTTAAGGCTTTGGCATGCAGGGTTAACAGGAGTCCCTGCCCCCAGTGACTGGTCTGTCTCTACAGGTTCTGCCAATGATCCAGGCTGGCTGCGCTGTCATCAGTAATGTGTTGAAATACTGCGGACCCGCTTGGCTCAGAAACCGGACTAGTGAGACTGCCATAGAAAACTGGCTCGATTCTGATATTCCATTGCCCGACTTGTTCAGCTCCAAAGAGACTCCACTTACCTCCCCCAACCCCCACCCAGGAGGATAGTTCAGCCGATCTAGATGCTATATCAAGTTTCAACAAAAACAGATATTGAATGCACCAGTAACCAGGAATTGCATTTCAAAGTTCTCTTGAAGCTCCTCATCGATCAGCAAAATTATTCCTTGTCAAATCTTTGTTTTGTAGGTACAGCACTTTAGCTATTTATATACCAGAGTTAGAAAGCACATAAATACACTCACAGACTTTTGAGTGCTTTGAGAATTTTGTCTTCATTAATGGCCATCAATCAGTGGGAATTTACAGCAATAAAACATAAAATGTATATGGAAAAGGAAAAATAGAAAGAAAAAGTAAAGATTAAGATAGAAATATGCAGAAAATAACCACATCCAGAAAACCAGAAAGAAATCAGAATATTTTCTTGCTAATATCTAAACAAGTAGCTCACTAACAATATGTTTTTATGCTAGTCACTCCAAAGTTATAAACCTAATCATGGCAGTTACAATTCATTTAAATTCAAATTAACATTATATCTCTCCCAACACATCACGGTGGCTTCCACTGCGATATTTTTCTTTAGAAAGGTAATTCATTAAACAATTATATTTTTTCCCATTGTAACATACACGTGCTTCAATTTGGATAATAAAATGTATTTGCAGAAATAAAATGCCAGAAATAACAGGAAAAAAACATCCATAGAGCAACACAAAATGAAAGCAAGTTGGAATCAAAGGCAAACTGAAGTGAAGTGCTTTTAAAACACAGATGACAAGCATTGTGATATTAAGAAGGCTGTAAAATACACAATATTAATGAAACTGCATATATTGTCAATGCAAGATACATTTGTACAGTATGTACAATAAAATACTAATATAGATTAACTACAGTATTTGTAAGATTTATTATGAAGCATATAAATAAGCTTGATTTCTTGTTACAATTACATGACTGGTGTTCTGAATCACTCGGTATATTCAAAGTAAACATTTTCCCCAAATAATCATTTTCCAGCGCATTGCTACATTCACCAAATATTCTTCTGTTTGACATCCTGCCACCATGGTTTGCTTGATTCATATAATGCAAGCATATAGAATCCAGTCCACCTCTCCATCAATGCCAATATAAAGGTGATAAAACTTAGACAAAGGTTACTTTGAACACTGGAATTTAACAAGGAACATGCGCCATTAGTTAGAAGCATAAAAAATCTCCACAACTATCAAGTCATCTTCAGCTGCTTTTGGACAGTTGTTTGAGAGGATTAGGGTCTGCTGGCAGTGACATTTGCTTTCATGCACTATTTCATCTTCTTCTTTTGACAGATTTTGGGTCATATCTGAAAACAAATACAAGATGGATCAGAAAGCACATCACTGATCAAGTTATTGCTGAAAACATAACAGAATAACAATAATACTAATCCTTGCGTTTGGTATAGTGGCTTATCACGTCGTCGAGACATTTCAAAGTGCTTCACATGATATACTGTAAAGTGGATTGACTATTTTGTGGGCCAGTTTGCACAGTGTCCCACAAACAACCAGTGGAAGATTTGGAGGATTTGTTGGCTAGGACACAGGGAAAACTCAGTTCGCTTTTCAAATAGTGCCATAGGATCTTTAATGTCCATTTTAACAGGCAGATGGGACCTCGGTTTAATGTATCATCTGAAGGTCGGCACCTCCAACAATGTAACACACCCCAGTGCTGCACTGGAGTGTACCAACATGGGCCTTGAACCCACAAACATCTGACTCAGAGGTGAGTGCTATCACTGCACCAGGCTGACACACATACATATCATCCACATACTAGAAAAATAACCATATTTGGTACCATTTAATATTCCTGTACTGATCAACAATTTTGAAACACTGTTATTCCATTTCTGAAACTCCATTTTAAATGTTAACCAGATGATGTGGTGAAAGGCTATTAAATGATCACAAATGATGAGGAAAAAAAACCGACATAATAATCCTTAACACTGAATAGATAAAATCAAGACGTAAGGCAACTTTGATTCAGTTATTCCTTACCACATTAGGCCCACTGTAAAATAAAGAACAGAAGTGGTACAAAGGAGTCAAAGCAGTGTGTAACCCAACACATTGGGAGTACTAGCATACAGTACGACAGAATGGTGAGAGGGAACACTGCCATCCTTCACGCAATCTCCTCCAACTATTTATCTTCTTATGCTGCCAAATGTGAAATATGTTCTGCAAGGTTATAAGTTCTACATTCTTGTTGCATATTAACAGAACAAGAAGTACTAATAACAGAAACTTCTTGTTCTTGATTAAGATTACTATACCTCCTCTCAGTATAAGGCCAAAGCAGTGATTATCTATTACTTAGAATCTGATAGGGGGCTCCATCCAGTTTCTGATCTCATCCAGTTCACAAACTCAATGGCAAAGAATGTACTCTGCCAATTCACCCAACATTAGAATGTATTCAGTTACCACTGAAACAAATGTTATCAGAACCAACTGCATTAGCTTATACTTAAAATATGTCTTGGAATTCTTCTAGATTTCCATAGATGTTCTTGCATTCGCTAGCCATTCGAAAGGGAGGCTTAAGTTGACTAGAGTTGAATTTAAATGAACAAATCTGAAGCCTGCCATCTCTTTTAAATTCTGGTAACACTTATCTCTATTGCAGCCAAAAAAATCAATAGTGCATTGCTTTAACAATAAAAGGGTCAACAAAGCTAATCTACTGGTATAAATGTGGGACATTTACTTTTACTTGAAAGTAGACTTAAAGGCTGGATTTATTATTCAACATGGCTGCAGCAGGCTGAGAAACCTTATGTTGCCCAGCAACACAAGTCAACTATGGAACCCTGTTGGAAAATTCAAGAGGCTGAAAGCATAGTTTTAAAATGAATCATGCTGGTTTGTTACTGGGTCTAATGAGTGTAATAAAATGGGATGGGGAGCTTTATTTTGTAATTCACAACGATAGTGGTTTTGGTGATGCATTAATGCTGGGAAAACTAACAGGAAATAACATTTACACAAAGTGTAAAGAGGATTGGGTTGAAGTAAAAATACACAAGAAGATACACATGGATGGTAGAACTCATGGAGACTTAATAGGTTGAAATTATGCAATAGTTGACATGTGAAGTTATCAGCAGAAGCACTATTGAGATTAATGTGAGTACACAGTTGGATACTGGATGAGAGAGAAACAAACAAAATAAGTTAAGTATTCAATCAAATGGTGAAGGCCACTATTTTCAGCAGAACAATGTCTTACATACATGCAAATATGCTTTCTTTCCCCTACACACGTGCAAAGATACTTTCTCGCTCCAAATATTTTATAGCTGAAAAATGTCATGGAAGATTCACTTTCCATTTGAACTGGTCACCTATAAATACACGGTCCCTACATCTTACAGTAAAATCTTGTGAAGTACTTGGAGACATTTTAACGATGCCAAGTGCAAGGACTGTTGTTATTGTTCAATTCCAAACTTCTTCACATGGGCAAATAACACACATTCACATTAATTTTCATCACTTGGGAGATTTGTAACTTTTGTAAAATACCTTTAATATGGTGCTAATAAAACTTTAATAAACATATCTGACAGATAGCATTTTGTCATCAAAGATTATGAACTCAGCCAGTTTATCATGTAATTGCTAAAATTAAGATATTTTTGTTATAAAGAAGTAACTAATTGATCACTATTTATAAATCATGAAGTGGGGCTTGACCACACAACTTTCTCACTCATAGGCAAGAGTGCTACCAACTGAACAACACTTACTATTTGCGTCACTTTCTATTTTATGCATCTCATATCCTCCCTGGCAATCTTTTGTTTTTAAACTTACTTTAATTTTGAAATCTGTGTTATTGATAATGTTTATTGTGCTCTGTAGTGTGACTAGTGATATTGCAGTAGATCATGCTTTATCCAATACATTATATGTGATCATAAATTTAGAACTTGTTAGACTGGGGGTATCCTATGCTGCCTAAGAAGGACTCAATTTTCACTTCATAGGTCATGCTGTCTGTTAATGGGAACAGTACTATAGCCAGCATTCCAACGGTATTCTGTGTAAGTGCCTAGATTTCAATACAGCACAAATCTTGTAAATACATGCTAAGGAAAAGAAAATGACTATAAATAAATTTAGTACTTGTCCCTCTAATGTATGTGTTATGGTATATTATTCAGAGGATGCTCCAAAGCAATTTACTTCAAAGCATTTGTCCAACATAAGAAATTTGCTAACAGCAACAGAAAAACGCACACTTGGACTTCCTCATTAGAATGTACCTAAACACCGTTGTTAGTTGAATCCCTATTGTTTCTTTGATCTTTTGGCATAATCTGAAGATCTAAAGCAATAACTCCAAACAGCAATAGCGGCACAACAGATTTATTGAAAATGAAAAACTAGAAAGTCTCAGAAAAATCATTTTTTAAAACATAAGAGCTTTTGATCATGAGTCAAAGGTTCATGAAAGCATTTGCCAACATTTGCTAATTCATTTCTATATTTGTGGTGTAACAGAAAAGTGTACAGCCATCCTCCTTCATTAGAATGTGCTCTGAACAGCACTGTCGTTAGCTGCGTCAGTTCCTATTTTATAATACTTCCCTTATCACACCGTTGAGATGTCTGAAAGTGTTTCACAGAATATATTGTAAAGTGGAGTGACTGTGTATTTTGTGGGCGAAATGCAGCAGACAGCATTGCAGTGCCCCACAAACAATCGTGGATTGAGTGACCTTTTTTTTATTTAACGCATTTCAAATTCTCTCTAATCATAGATAGTCTCTAACCATCTTTTAAAATAAAATCACTTCCCACTTCAAAGTCCAAACTGATATAAAATGATATTCATTTACATTAGGGAGAAGAGAATAAAGGGGTACAGGAGAGGGGATTAGAAGAGGTGGAGGCTTGTATGGAGTATAAACATTGGCATTGACTAGTTGGACTAAACAGCCTGTATCCCTGCTGTAACATTCTATGACTCCATATTAGTTTAATCCAAAGCTTCAATATTACTGACATGGATTCACAGTTACATGACTACAATAGCTATCAAAGCGGTTTTGTACATTTAAAAATCATAGCATGGTCCTTTCATTTAACATTTCTTGAATAGATGCACATAAGGATTTTTATGGTTGTCACCAAGAATTACTCTACTCTAACCATCAATACATTTGTCTCTTTCCAATTATATATTGCCAAAGTGAGCTAAAAACATACTGCACGCAGTGAAATACCAAACAACAACAAGATACCATTTATAGAGCGCCTTTCACGTCGGGAGGACGTCCCAAGGCGCTGGGACCAGAAATACCAAAGAGAATCAATTAAAGGATTAGATATATTTAAATGGAAAATATTTGAGACACTTGATATATTCATAATAATAGCACATCATATAAATTTTGCAACTCTATTTCATTTTGAATGGACTGAAATGGGCTAAATAGATCAAGGTACACGTTACTTAACTATTTTCTAATTGAAAACCAATTCAGAATTTTAAATGTGAGTATTACAGCTTCTATTGGAATAATAATGCACCTTTAGGACAACAAATCTTGTGTGTAAAAAAAATAAATGTTGTTTGAGGAACAATAAATATATAACTCAAAAGGGGGAAATGATGCTGACAATTCAGTCAAGTTATTCCTCCTTACGTTTTATATTTTCATCCCCTGCAACCCACAACATTGGGCAATTTGGAGGGTAAAGAATAAAATTAATATTTCACATGAAAGAGGCTGTTTAGCAATGGAGATGTGAAAGTTAATTTAACATCTGAAGCGATAATGAAGTTAAGAATATAGATGTGAGAAATTAGCAGGAAAACCACTGACAGTATGAAATGGTACCTCTTGGGTTAGACACGAGAAAGACTTGAAAAAAATGTCTTTGAAGAATTGAAAGAAACAATCTCATTGCTCCATCAAAGAGCACAGAAGAGATCCAGGCTTTAATGATTTAATTGTTAGTAATTTCAGCATGTTTAATGTTAAAACAATGCTTGGGAAAATATAGTAAAACAGGTCTGGATAATTATCCTTCATTTCTCTCTCCCACTAAGGAAACAATGAAATGCCTCATGTGCACTTGCATGGTATTTTGTTGATTACAAAATCCCACGATTCTCTCCCCCTTTTGTTGCAGAAAAAAGAAATATCATAGTTGAGTACATCTCAGATAGTGCCTAAAAATGTTTCAGCAGTCGTGAAATGGAAAATATTGTTTTTCTAGGTTAATATGTGATGAATTTGATGAATGCATGAATGGTTCAGTGTTCTGATTTGATGAACAG